TTTGTGTTGAAAACATATACAATAATTTCTTTATTTTGATAGAGATATGAACCGCCATTTGATTTCAGTACTTTTTGTACATCAGGATTGGTTGTTTTTCAAAATTATGCTGAATTTCAGGGAAAAGATACTAAATTTTTGTTCGTGTTGCTTAAAAATGAAAATATTTCTTCTTTTTTATCAGAAATAATGGAACGTCAATTGCAATCAGTCATTATAAATGCCTTTAGATAAGTAATTTTGTATAAAATGTGAATAATTGAAGGATAAATATGCATAAACTTTTGTTTTTGTTGAATAAGAATGCTATCATTTCTTTATTTTAATGGAGCATTTCTGGGGGAAAAACCCCAATCGCGATAAAAATCGTTTAAGCACTCTTCGGGTATGAAAATATATAACCTAAATAAAAACGAAAATCACCATTCTTTTATAATAATATTTAAAATTAGTTTTATATTTCTTTTCTTTTTAAATTCTTAAAACTTTGCTGAATAATTACTAAAAAAAATGTTGATCTTTTGTACTTGAATGTTTCGTATTTTCCGTGGCGCCATTTTAATTAAATGAAACGAATCTAAGATTCCGTAGCTTGTATTAGTTCATCATGTGACGTAGTAGAGTTCAATCCATCAGAAAGGTCTATCGGTCCGATCCGTCAGATCCGTCCGATCAGTCAAATATTTTACTATAAGTCTGACGGATTGGTGACATGAGTTTGACGCGAACTTGACTGATCGGTGACTGATCGATGACTGCTGACTGATCGCTAAAACAGTAACGCCTAAGGTTGCAAGTACTGTAACTGTAAGTTCCATTTTTTATATGATTTGAATCAAAAGGAATTGTTATCAATCAGTAAAAATGTAATCTACTGGGGCTCAGAATTTTTGAAAAAATTCGTAAGGGGTTCCGTGGAACCCTGTGTCTTGCCTACGATTGTTGCTTTCAGTGTAAAAGTGTAATGATGACTTAATAAAATGCTCCGCTGGGTGCAGCTTGATACGACCGCAGAGGTCGAACCCTGAACAGTTGGGGCAAGTATGGACACAACATTCAAGCTTGATACAGCTCTGAATTTGGATTGTAATTAAATATTTGACACAGCATATGGTCAAAGAACTTAAAAAATTTTAATTTACCTATTATGGTCCAATATCCAAAATCTAAATACATACAGGGTTAGATTCAGCATATCAAAGAACCCAAAGAATTCATGTTTTGTTAAAATCAAACTAAGTTTAATTTTGGACCCTTTGGACCTAAATGTAGACCAATTTGAAAAACCGGACCAAAAATTAAGAATCTAAATACATGGTTAGATTCAGCATATCAAAGAACCCCAATATTTCAATTTTTGATGAAATCAAACCATATCATTATTATTTGCTTTTATATATAAATCAAAAATAACCAACTTAACATGGAAAATTTTAAAGAAAAAAAAAAGGAAAAAAAAGAAAAAGAAATCCCCCCCAATTTTTTGAACCCCCTTATGATTCATCACCCCCAAACTCAATCCCAGCCTTCCCTTTGTGGTATGGTACCTTGCAGTACAATTTCAGAGAGATCCATACACTTGAACACAAGTTATTGTCTGGAAACTGTAAAAATGCTTGTTTTTTGGCCCCAAATTCCTAAACGTTTAAGGCAATTACCCCCAAACTCAAACCCAGCTTTCCCTTTGTGATATGGAACCTTGTAGTACAATTTCATAAAGATCCATACACTTACACACAAGTTATTGTCCTGAAACTAGAATAAACAGCTGCGCCATGAGCGCATGATACGCCCGTCGTCTTGTGTGTAAACTTTTATGCAATAAGCATAAATAGTTTCTGACATACGGCGTGACATGCTAAAACCCCCTTTTTTTTTACAAAAAAATCAATATTCTAAAATGAAATTTTGAATCAAAACCAAAAAGTATACAGAGCTTTAGATTAATATAACTAAGAAGTGTGTAAAATTTTAAGCAATAATCATAAATCGTTTTTGAGATACGGCTCGACATGTGAAAAACCCCTCCCTCTTTTTTTACAAAATACTCAATAACTCAAAAATAAAATTTTGAATCATCACCAAAAAGTATACAGATCTTAAGGTTAACATATCTAAGAAGTGTGTAAATTTTTAAGCAATAATCATAAACTGTTTTTGAGATACAGCGCGACATGTGAAAAACCCCTCCCCTTTTATAACAAAATACTCAATATCTCTAAAATAAAATTTTGAATCATCACCAAAAAGTATACAGATCTTAAGATTAATATAACTAAGAAGTGTGTAAAGTTTTAAGCAATAATCATAAATTGTTTTTGAGATACGGTGTGACATGTGAAAAAAAACACACACCTGTTTTAGTTACTAAGTCCCGTAACTCAAAAAGTTTTAATCTTATTTTCACCAAAAAGTATACAGATCGTTTGACCATCCTAAGAAACAACTATGTTAAGTTTCATGAAATTTGGATAAGTCATACTCAAGTTACGGTGCGACATGTTTACGCCGGACAGACAGACGGACAGACGGACAGACAAACAGACAGACAGACAGATGGACGGACGGACGGACAGACAGACGGACAGACAGACAGATGGACGGACGCCGGACATTTGTATACCATAATACGTATAAAATAATAATAATATAATATGCGTATAAAAATGCTTGTTTTTTGCACCTTTTTGGTCCATGATTCCTAAAATTTTGAGGCAATTACCCCAAAAATCAATTCCAGCCTTCCTTTTGTGGTATGGTTACCTTGCAGTTCAATTTCAGAGAGATCCATACACTTGAACACAAGTTATTGTCTGGAAACTAGAAAAATGTTTATTTTTGGCCCCTTATTCCTTAATGTTTTGGGCAATTACCCCCAAACTCAATCAAGCTTTCCCTTTGTGATATGGAACCTTGTAGTACAATTTCAGAAAGATCCATACACTTACACACAAGTTATTGTCATGAAACTAGAAAAATGCTTGTTTTTTGCCCCTTTTTTTGCCCCTAATTCCTAAAATTTTGAGGCAATTACCCCCAAAATCAATCCCAGCATTACTTTTGTGATATGGAACCTTGTAATACAATGCCAGAGAGATCCATACACTAACACACAAGTTATTGTCTGGAAGTTACAAAAATGCTTATTTTTGGCCCCTAATTCCTTAACTCATAACTGTTGGTACCATAACCCCCAAAATCAATCCCAACCTTCCTTATGTGGTATTGAACCTTATGGTAAAATCTCATAGAGATCCATTCACTTAAACTAAAGTTATTGTGCGAAAACCAATGTGTCTTCGGACGACGACGGAGACGCCAACGTCATACCAATATACGACCGCAAAAATATTTTGCTGTCGTATTAAAAGTGAGTCCATTTATCAGTAAAATACAGCATTTAAAAAAAAATCAAACTTTTTCTATAGATGCTATTTCTCTGTCTTGAAGATTAGCTTCTGTCTAAGTTTCATAACAATCCACGAAGGTTTACAAATTTATCAAGTCAAAAAAAATTAATCGGGGGATTTAATCCCAGACTGTCTGTAAATGTTAACTGTAAAAAACTAAGTCCATCTATCAGAAAAATACTGAAAATGAAATTATATTTTCAAAAGTTTGTTTCAGACATTATCTCTTCATCATAAAAAAGCTTATGCCAAAGTTTCATAAAATTCTATGAAGATTTGATAAAGTAATTGATGTGTAACAAATTTTAACCCCAGACTGTATCTACTTGTTAACTGTAAAAAAACAAAAATGTGTCCATAGTCTACACTGATGCCCCACTCGCACTATCATTTTCTATGTTCAGTGGACCTTGAAATTGGGGTCAAAACTCTAATTTGGCATTAAAATTAGAAAATCATATCATAGGGAACATGTGTACTAAATTTCAAGTTGATTGGACTTCAACTTCATCAAAAACTACCTTGACCAAAATCTTTAACCTGAAGTGGGACAGACGGACAAACGGACCGAAGGACGGACGGACGAACGAACAGATGAACAAACGGACGAATGGACGCACAGACCGAAAAACATAATGCCCCTCTACTATCTTAGGTGGGGCATAAAAATAAGTCCATTTATCAGTAAAATACGGAAAAATGAAAATAAATATTTTCAAAATTTTGCTCTGGATACTGTAGTTTGGTTATAAACAAGCTTCTGTCCAAATTTATAAAATTCCATGAAGGTTTGACAACGTTATTGATGACTGAAAAACTTTCTCAGACTGAATCTGAAATGTTAACTGTAAAAAAAACTAAGTCCATTTATCAGTAAAATACGGAAAAATGAAAATGAATATTTTCAAAATTTTGCTCTGGATACTGTATTTTAGTCATAAACAAACTTCTGTTCAAATTTCCTAAAATTCAATGAAGGTTTGACAAAGTTATTGATGCCTAAAAAAACTTGAACCACAGACTGAACCTAAATGTTGACGCTGACAACGGAATCTAGGATTGCTATGTCTAGCTTTCATGACATAAATGTCGCAGGCTCGACAAAAATATTCATATTTGTATTCCAATCATCATGTAGTTAATAAAAGCTTTTGGAAATAGACATTATAGTTGTCAATATTTACAAACCCATTGATAAGTAGTAATACATCATGTGTGGTTGAAGCTGGGGTTAATTAACGACCAATTAAAGAAACCAAATCAAGCTAAAATTATGTTCAAAAATATTTGGTAATATTTTTCTTCCCTCAGTTTGTCAAAAGAGAAACCTATAACTTTTCAGGTATTCTTCTGATATGGTCTGTTTTATAAAAATACAAGCAATAATATGCATTAGATTTGAAATCTGCAAGGATTAGTAAGACTGCTTTAATTATCATTTTATAAAGTCAGCACTGATTGACAATTTTACTGTATGTCTTATTTTTTCATAGTCAGGTGTTTGTTGTCTCGGAATTCTGTTGAACAGACTTAAAATTTTGGTAACGCTTTCTCTTTCTTTTCTAATTAATATATTATTTATTACAAAACCTTATATTTAGAAACTGTTGCCATAGCCATTGATTTTTCCTCTGCCATCTGCTTTAAGCTCTCTTGTAAATACCTACAAATATAATTAGGTAAACATAAAAAGATGTGGTATGATTGCCAATAAGACAACTATCAACAAGAGACCAAATGCCTAGATGAAAGCAACTAGAGGTCACTGTGAGACCTTCAACAATGAGTAAACCATACGGTATAGTAAGCTATAAAAGGCCCTGACATGACAAATTGTAAAACAATTCAAAAAATGTGCTCCGCCTGGAGCAGTTGGATACGACCGCAGAGGTCAAACTCTGAACAGTTGGGGCAAGTATGGACACAATATTCAAGCTTGATACAGCTCTGAATTTGGATAGTGATTAAATATTTAACACATTATAGATTTCTGACACAGGATAAATGTGGTCAGATAACTTAACTAGAGGCTCTCAAGAGCCTGTGTCGCTCACCTGTATCTACTGTGGTTTTGGAAATCATGTAAAATAAGGTTAAAATCATATAGACACCCTAATAATGATTGAGGCCAAGTTTGGTTTAATTTGGTCCAGTAGTTATACTAAAAGCAGAAGATTTTTGAAAAGATTTACAAAAATTACCAATAAATTGCAGAAAATAACTTTAAAGGACAATTAATAATATACTCCAATAAGATGTCAATTGCCAATTGGTCATGTTAACTTATTTGTAGATCTTTCTTTGCTTGATATTTTGCTGTTTACAGTATATCTCAATCTATAATGATATTCAAGATAATTAACAAACAAAAACAAAAATAAATTTTCCTCCGCTCCAAAGTTTATTTCACCCAGGGCCTGTATAATGCTGAAAATGCCTTTAAATGTTTTTATGGAACACCCTTCAAAAAAAATTTGGGTAGGGGTTCCCCTGACCCACAAATATCCCGCCAGGTCTAGGGGGCATTCACCCAATATAAGTATGCTGAAAAAAAGATATAATAATATGGTTTATAGAAAAAGTAACACTGAATAATTCTAAAAATGTCAAGGAGAAATTATTAGCACCCTCCCCTGAAAAAATTGCACCCCCTGGAAAAAAATCAAGTCATCCCATTGTAGTCTTACAATAGTTACTGAAGACCCCTTATCATTATTTAAATAAGTTTTCAAGTTGTGACCATTTGAAATTTTTTTTTAAAATTTTTCCCATAGACTTCTATAGTAAACCTCTATGTTCTATTTTTACCAATGGGGACCATGTTGGTTGTAGGGCAGGGTCATCGGATACATTTTTCATTCAAGATACTCTAAAAATAATTGAGGCCAAGTTTAATTCCATTTGGCCAAGTAGATTAAGAGGAGAAGATTTTTGTAAAAGATTAAATTTACGAAAAATAGTGAAAAAAATTTACTTTAAAGGGCAATAACTCCTTAAGGGGTCAATTGACAATTTTGGTCATGTTGACCTGATGAACACTTTAGTTTCAGAGATATAAGCCAAAAACTGCATTTTACCCTCATGTTCTATTTTTAGCCATGGCAGCCATCTTGGTTGGTGGGCAGGGTCATCGGTTACATTTTTTAAACTAGATACCCTAAGAATGATTTAGGCCAAGTTTGGTTTAACTTGGCCCAGTAATTTCAGAGGAGAAGATTTTTGTAAAAGATTACAAAAATTTACAAAAAATTGTGAAAATTTGACTTTAAAGGGCAATAACTCCTTAAGGGGTCAATTGACAATTTTGGTCATGGTGACTTATTTGTAGATCTTACTTTGCTGAACATTTTTGAGGTTTACGTTTATCTCTATCTATAATAGTATTCAAGATAATATCCAATAAAATGCTTCGCTGAGCGCAGCCAGATACGACCGCAGAGGTCTAACCCTGAACAGTTGGGGCTAGTTTGGTCACAATATTCAAGCTTGATATTGTCTGATTTTGGATTGTGATCAAATTTTTGACATAATATAGGTTTCTGACACAAAATAAATGTGGTCAAAGATCGTAAAAATTTGATTTGAAATGGGACATTTAATTACCTAGATTGGACTGATATCCAAAATCTAACAACATGGTTAGATTCAGCATAAAAAAAACACCAAAAATTTAATTTTAGTTGAAATCAAACAAAGTTTAATTTTAGACCCTTAAAACCTTAATATTGACTAATTTTAAAAAAGGGCCCAAAATAAAAAATCTAAATGCACAAAAAGATTCAGCATATCATACAGCCGCAATAATTCAGTTTTTGATGAAATCAAACAAATTTTAATTTTGGACCCTTTTGACCTCAATGTAGACCAATTTAAAAATGGGGCCCAATATTCAAAAAAGTAATACAAGGTTAGAACTCCCAAAAATTAAAGACTTTAAATTAATCCCATTGAAATTGGTTAAAAGATTTGTATTTATTTTCAATTGAAGATTTCTTGCTATTGCGCAATACCAGTGCAATTTAAGATTTCTTGCTATTGTGCAATACTGTGCAATTGAAAATTTCTTGCTATTGCGCAATACTGTGCAATTGAAGATTTCTTGCTATTGCGCAATACTGTGCAATTGAATATTTCTTGCTATTGCCCAATACTGTGCTATTGGGCAATACTGTGCAATTGAAGATTTCTTGCTATGGTGCAGGGATAAAACTTAACGGTTGCCCAGTTGCCCATGGCGAGCAAAATTTCACATGGGCGACTTCACATCACTTTCCAGATCGCCCAGGTGGCGATTGCAATATATTTATTTGATAACTCCAACTGACAAGTTTGTTCTATCGCTAGAAGTACTCGACGGTTATTTAATCATTCAAAACACATTATCGAAAAGCTTTCCGTAGAAAAAAAAACATCGCTAGTTTTGTTTTAAATGGAATTCACATGTTTTCAAACGGGGAACCAGTTAACGAATGAATAGATGAAATCGGTACGTCCTAGTCAATCCGGTTGAATTTCATTACATACACGCTTTTTTTTTCATTTCTGAAAAATACTGAAGCGAATTTGATATATAGTTCAAACATTTCTACTCAAACAGCCAGTAACAAATCAATTTATTTATTCCTAAATATTAATATAACGGTAAGTACATATCGTTGTCATGCCCATGTCTGTCAAAATTTAAAATTAGAAACAATTTGTAAACTTCCTGTTTCAAAATGTGGAAATATATAAGCGGTGAGGGTCTCATTAATTAGCGACAAGAAGTGTCAAGAAGCGACAAGAACCATCTAGAAGCGACAAGAAGCGACAAAAAGACTATTTAGCGACAAGAAAACTAAAAAAAAATATTATTAGAATAAATATATTGAAAAAAAATATGCATTGACAGCAATAAAGAGATTTTCATTTTTTTTTTATTATATTGATAGATGAAGAAATAAATGAGTCAAGATAACATTTGGAGGTTTGCCTGTGATCTGAACAATTTCTTTCAAAGAATTAATATTGATGACAGCTTGCATATATCATCAGCAATATTTTGTTTGTTTAATAGGATAGGTACCTATGTATTCTGCTATTGCTTTATTCATGGTTTCAAGAGAATGGCCAGGCATTTTTTTCGAACCAGCTGATTATTTTCTTGTAAGAATTACTTCTTTTCATAGAAGCATAATGACGCTTAATGATGAACAAATTAGAATCATGGTTGGAGTAAAGGACGTGTGTCCCTTATTGTATTACTACAATAACATTCAATTAACACCTATAATTTTGTACACGCATCAGACTATACAACTACACCCGCCAGAATATACAATAATTGTAAATAGTGAGCAACTGTTGAACACTCAACATTGTCTTTAATTACCTTCAATCTTCAATCAACTTTAAACTATGCATAAACATCATACATATCGTTTGATAAGTCAATACCCAAATAAAATATTCACGTTTTAGTAACATTATCTTTTCTGGACAGATTCACGGATAATGCATTTTGCATGCAGGTCAGTTTATTATATTTTAGACAAAGAGAGTGTTAAAAAATTTATAAAATAAATATATTATTGTTCTAAATCACAAGAACATGTAAAAATTAATATCATACTATGACAGGGAAATGCCTATATTTATCAATACATATCAATATATTTAAAAAAAATTATGAAAATCACTTTACTTTCCGTATATTAAAATAAAAATGTCAATGCATATTTTTTTAATAAAATATTTTTATTAAGTTTTCTTGTCGCTAAATTTATTCTTCTTGTCGCTCCTTGACGCTTCTTGTCGCTAAAATTCTTCTTGTCACTAATTAGTGAGACCGAGCGGCGCTAAGCCTCCACAGAAAAGAAAAAAATGAGGGATAAGGTTACATACTTTCTCGAATATGAGAAAACAAAAAGGGTGAGGAATTAGTCAACTGATTGGGAAAAAGACAGGTCCTGGTTAAAAGACAGTGAGGAGGGAATGATTTGCCTAACATGTCAACATTTGACAAACATTTTCAGCTCTTGATAAATATATTAAACTAAAGAACTGTTTGATGTATATTTGTTTTTTCCCCCAAGAAAAAACTGGGCCACAAACAATTTTGTTGGGCCCCAAGAAATAAAAGGTTAGTAGCCCAGCTGGCTCCTGTAAAAAAAAAAGTAAAGTTTTATTCCTGTGGTGCAATACTGTGCAATCATTTGAAATATCAAAAATTTTGAAGAAAAATATATGAACCCCCCCCAAAAAAAAATTGGAAAACAAAATCCCTACAAACTTTTTGAACCCCCTCCCCCTTAGAGTAATTACCCCCAAATTAATCCCAGCTTTCCCTTTGTGGTATAGAACCTTGTAATACAATTTTAGTTACTGTCTGTAAACTAGAAAAATGCTTGTTTTGGCCCCTTTTTTGCCCCTAATTCCTGAACCGTTGGGGCAATTACCCCCAAACTCAATCCCAGCCTTCCCTTTGTTATATGGAACCTTGTGGTACAATTTCTGAGAGGTCTATACACTAACACACAAGTAAATGTCTGGAAACTACAAAAATGCTTGTTTTAGGCCCCTTATTCCTAAACTGTTGGTACCATAACCCCCAAAATCAATCCCAACCTTCCTTTTGTGGTATTGAACCTTCTGGTAAAATTTCTTAGAGATCCATTCACTTAA